CTTGTTCTTTGGTCTCGAGCGTAAGAATGGTCAGAGGAGGCTGATGCACTCCCTGCGATCCAATGCTGGGCAGCTGCTTCAGGAGTCCGCCGACATTCGTCAGTGTGCTGTGGAGTTCTACAAAGAGCTCTACAGAACAGAGTTCCAGGCCGAGCCAGAGGTGGCGCAGTCGTTCTATGAGGGCCTTCCTAACGTCCCTGAGGAGGACCATGCTGAGCTGGAGGCGGAGCTCTCTGCCCAGGAGTTGCAGGAGGCCCTGCAGAGCATGCAGAGTGGGAAGGCTCCTGGCATAGACGGCCTGCCTGCAGACTTCTATAAGGCTCTCTGGCCAGTTATAGGTGACGACCTGCTGAGTGTGCTCAGAGACAGTCTAAGTAACGGGAGGTTGCCTCTGAGTTGCAGGAGAGCTGTGCTCACTCTCCTCCCTAAGAAAGGAGACCTGCAGGAGATTAAGAACTGGCGTCCTGTGTCTCTACTCTGTACCGACTACAAGCTGCTTTCCAAAGTGTTAGCGACGAGGCTGAGAAAAGTGATGGAGCATGTCATTCACGTAGACCAGACATACTGTGTACCCAGCAGGTTGATAACTGACAACGTGACTTTAATTCGAGATGTTTTGGACCTCTCCGGTTCATTGGGCTGTGAGCTTGGTCTGATTTCTCTAGACCAAGAAAAGGCTTTTGACCGAGTTGAACACCGGTACTTGTGGCAGACGCTGGAAGCTTTTGGGTTCAGCTCTGGTCTCATAGCCAAGATCCAGGTCTTGTACAGGGACATTGAGAGTGTACTGAAGATAAACGGTAGTTTGTGTGCTCCTTTTGAAGCTCAGAGAGGAGTCCGACAGGGCTGCTCTTTGTCCGGGATGCTCTACTCCCTGGCCATAGAGCCTTTTTTACACCGGTTAAGGTCAAAGTTACAGGGTTTCTCTTTTCCTGGCTGTAGGGATGTTTTTAAATTGTCTGCGTATGCGGATGACATAATGGTCTTTGTTAAAAAACAAGATGACATCAATGTTTTAACTGAAACTGTGAGCAATTTTTGCAAAATCTCATCTGCTAGAGTCAACTGGGGGAAAAGTGAGGCCTTAGCAGTAGGAGAGGGCAGTATTGACAGCTTGTTGTTACCTGGGGGCCTTGGTTGGAAAAGGGCAGGGTTAAAGTACCTGGGTATTTATCTTGGTGATGACACATTTTGTTTGAAAAACTGGGACGGGCTTATAGAGAAAGTGGAAGGCCGGTTAAAGAAGTGGAAGTGGATCCTTCCCAAACTTTCTTTTAAAGGGAGAATCCTTATTTTAAACAACCTTGTTTCCTCCATGCTGGCTCACCGGCTGGCGTGCACCGACCCACCCGTAAACCTGCTGTCCAGGGTGCAGGCTCTCATGGTGGACTTCTTCTGGGACCGCATGCAATGGGTCCCTCAGAGCGTCCTGTTCCTGCCAAAGGAGGAGGGGGGACATGGCCTGGTTCACCTGGCAAGCAGAGGGGCAGCCTTCAGGCTCCGGTTCGTCCAGAGGTTCCTGACTGGACCTGCTGACCTGGTCTGGAGAGACCCGTAGCTCGGGCCTTATTGGAGCGCTGTGGTGGGCTGGGTCTGGCTGAGTCGCTGTTCCTAATGGACCTGAAAGGATTACGCCTGAACAATCTCTCGGGTTTCTATGGAGGTCTCTTCAAGGTGTGGGGACTACTCAAAAAAGAGAGACCAGAGTGCCGTGGCTCACTGTACTGGCTCCTCAGAGAGCCGGTGGTCCGTGGATCTCGTTTTGTGTGTGGAGTAGGGCCTTCTCTACAACAGAGACTCTGTGAGGAGAGGATCCTCACGCTGGGCCAGGTGGTGGAGGTGTGTGGCCCCGGTCTGGACAACGCTGCAGGCCTGGCCTCACATCTGAGCCTCAGGTCAGTCCGGGTGGTCAGCCTCCTGCTGCAGAGCTGGAAGCAGCAGCTCAGCCAATCAGAGCTGGAAACAGCAGCTCAGCCAATCAGAGCTGGAAGCAGCAGCTCAGCCAGTCAGATCTGGAAACAGCAGCTCAGCCAATCAGAGCTGGAAGCAGCAGCTCAGCCAGTCAGAGCTAGCGCTGATCGCTGCTCACTGTAACGGACTGAAGTCTCCAAATGACAATGACTCTTTTCCAGAGATGCAATGTTTTCCTGATCTCAGTTGTGAGGGTTTTTTGTTAAAGTTGGACAATGTTACTGATTTTAAGTTTAGCACCATGTCCAACAAAACATTTTATTATTTGGTGACAAAGGTTCTGAATCAGAGCAGACTCCAAGAGCGAGTGGACACCCGGTGGAGAGCCCACCTGGGCCTGACGGAGGCTCAGAGGCCTGAGTGGAGAGCGCTCTACAAGCCTCCGCTGACTAAGAGGGGTGGGGACCTCCAGTGGAGGGCTCTCCACGCTGCGGTAGCTGTTAATGCGTTTGTTTCTGTGATCAACCCTACAGTGTCTGACGCCTGTCCTTTCTGTGAACAGAGGGAAACCATTTTTCATTGTTTTACAGAATGTGGTCGACTCCTTTGTCTTTTTCAGTTACTCACTCAGATGTTGATTTTGTTTAATGTGGTTTTTTCTAAGTCAATGTTCATTTTGGGTTGTAGGTACAGCCAGAAGCAAAAGTGCAAAAGTCAGCTTTTGAATTTTTTGCTGGGGCAGGCTAAAATGGCCATCTACCTCAGCAGGAGGAATAAAGTTGCGGGATCATTGGATACCGATGCAGTTTCGATTTTCAAGCGGATGGTTAAAGCAAGACTGAAAGCGGACTACAGTTACTTTTGTTTAACAAAAAATGTGGGAGAATTTGAGGCCATGTGGTGCTTTAAAAATGCTTTGTGTTCTGTGGAGAATGAGGATCTTATTTTCAGTCGTTGTCTGAACTGACAATATGTGTCAATGTGTCTGTTTGGTTATTTGCTTTGTGAATAAAAGTGGTTTGAAAAATCAAATCTCTCTCTCTCTCTCTCTCTCTCTCTATATGTTGGTACGCAAATGCGCCTTTTTTAAAATGACCCGGTGCTCTTTTTGTTGGCCGAGGTGCGCATGCGCACCTGCGCACCAGTTATGTGCAGCCCTGGTGAAGGACCAGGTTCACAGTGTGAGAGAGAAACTCCCTCTGGAGGGAAAACAGACCATTTACATGCACAGAAACCTATATAACACACTACTGGGAGACCCCCCCCCCCGCCTCCCAAAAAAAAGCAGAATAGGGCCTCTTTAAATTGTAAGGGAAACATTGGTTACTTTTGAACATCAAGATGAATAAGGAATATTTGGACATTTCAGGAAATGATTCCCTTTCTTGCTGAAAGTTAGATGACAATATCAATGCCATGCTCATATTCTGACCCTGTATCTAGAAGCATTCCACTGTTACTTCAGCAGCGTCAGTAGTCATGTAATATGTGTACATACAACTTTTGTCAGAATTTTCCCAACTTTTTTATTTGTTATTTTACTTCACTGGATTTCAGTAACATACTGTATGTCAAAGAGAAGTCCACTGATTTAGCATCGCAATGGATTGATTAAAACAAACTGTTGCAGCCAAACCAGAAATCTCGATTGATTTGACTGCATCCTTTCTTCCTTGTTAAAACCTCAAAGCATGAACCACAACACAATCAACTCCTCTTGCCTTTTGCTTTTTCTTTTTAAACTTGAAAAACATATTATTTTAAGTTGACACTTCCCGACCCCTGTCAGATATTTGATGATCCTGAGCTCCTTGGTATTTTCTGTAAATCCTTTCTTGTTTTTTTTTGTAGACACTCAAAGATGTCCAAATATCATATGCAAATAAATCCACACATACATGCAGGTATGGACACATTTACCTCTCTGCTGTCGCTTCTCTTCCTCTCTTTCAAAGGTCATCGTGTCCACAGGGCTCAGACCATTAATTGTGTCTTAGAAGAAGGCATCATTAATTATGCACATAGGGTTACATATAGGACACAGAGGAGAACCTAATGCACACACAGACATATTGTGTTGCATTTCTTGCTCCTTGCACCTGCTAATTGTCACAGCTGAATCCTGAAGTTCATGCACAGCCAGTCATTTCATTGCTGTGATTCTGATTACCACATTCACTGTAATCTGAGTGCGATGCTATTGTACTGAAAGGAATTACCTTTCATTGACTAAGTATAGCTTTTGGTAATCAGCCAAGGGATTTATGATTTCAACCTATAACACACACTTAGCCAAAATGTGCATCTTTCAAATCACAATTTCCTTATAAAGAACGCTGTACTAATTAATGATTCAAAATCTATACCAAATGGGTTTAGTTCCACATATTGATTGATCTCATGTCTTGGTGTAACCCTTGATGTATTGATCAACATTTTTCTGCTGTTTATTGGATTGTTGAATCTATTGTGCTTTTTGGGGTTTCACCTGTCCTGTAATGTGTTATATCAGGTTTTCTGTGCATGTAAATGGTCTGCAAAGGCTAACATCCCTGATTTGAGTTTCTCTCTTTTTTAATACACGCAAAATCAAATATTCGTGAAATGGGGAAGCCAGTCTTAGTCCACATTCATTCAAATGAGGCCAATTGGCGATGTAGATAGCGATATAGATGATCCCTGTAGATGACTTTGTGATTTGAACGCCATATTTCTACTGTTAACTTTGGAGTAGTTGCGCCAAAAGATAATAGTTGCCAGTGTAATAGTTTAGTTGTGGAATCGTGCCTCGGTATTATAAACTACTGTGCAGAGTTTTGAAATCTAATGACCCTCAGAACTCATGGATCTTTTACTTGGACTGCTCTCCAAGGATTGTGTTTGATTGTGTCAATGGTACCAGAAACTACACACACACGCCTTCTTTTTTCAGTCTGAGCGCCTGCTACCTCATTAGTCACTATATAACCACTGGAAAGAATATGACACATAATTGTTCAGCACATAAACAACACATCTACTTCATTTTATTTAAGATTATCTTTTCACTCCCATTTCTTCATCTAATCCTGTGTTGTCTTTTCTTCCAGATTTGGCCCCTCCGAGGGACCCTCATCGCCTCCAAAGCTACCAGGAGGCAGCGAGGCACACAGTTCACAGCGCACTGTGCCTGACAGCAGCCATAGAACAACGCTCGGGGGATTTGGAATCCTGCTTTAAATAAGGGAAGAACATCTTTCTTAAAAAGCAAGGAGCTCCTGCAGTCATTACACTCCCGCAGAGTTTTCTTTTAAAGACTTTGGTTCATCTATTATTTCTTCCACTGTAGACTCTATCACCAAGATAGAGTGCGTGTAGAACTGCAGGTGAATCATTTCATTAACTCTTTGTCATAAAGGCTTTCTCCTGGATTATCAGGGCACTATTGAAGGTCAGCGTTCCTTAACTGTCAGACTCGAGTCTTTGATCGGGTGCCACCGCCCCACTCGTTCGTTTATCCCTTTTTCGACTCCTCAACTCTTGACTTTGAAGGGTTTTTGTGGGATTAAGTTTTATGCCCTTGGACACCCTCTTCAAGCAGCTATTCCCCAGGAATATACTCAAGCCAAAACTTGAAAGAAGATAGCCGCCCGGCAGGATGCGGCGAAGGGAAGGATAAGGCCGGATAGAAAGGAATAGAGGGAAGTGAAGGGCAGATGGCTTCTCTGCGCCGAAAACACCAACAGCAGAATGAATAAAACATTGGAATAGAGAGGGTGTCGTGACATCTGGCTGAGGAGTGAGTGAGATACATTCTCCCTTTTCTTTTCCCTATTCTGCCCACTCCTAGTATCCCTAGCATCATCATTCCTTGTCATCTAACCATCTTTCACTTAACCTCTCTGGACACCCAGGCGCTCAATCAAACAGACAGGAACAAGCTTATTTCAACGTTTAGCGAGTTTCCCCCCCACACCTTCTCTCCCTGGTGCGGCGTGTGATGGTGTGTCCCCTCCTCTCTTTCCTGGAGACATGCCTGTGCAGGAGATGGCGGTGAGTCCTGTCAAGTCGCTGTACTGGGAGCAGTTCCCCCCCATGACGCAGCGCCGCGTCTACTGCACTCCCGTCTACCACGAAGGCCTTCTCTATGTGCTGGGGGGCTGCAGCGAGACCGGCGCCCCCCTGGACAGCGTGGAAGTCCTGGATGTAGAGAGTCAGACGTGGAGCCAGCTGCCCCCACTGCCCACTGCGAGGGCGGGGGCCTCGGCTGTGGCGCTGGGGGGCCAGGTGATGGTGCTCGGGGGCATGAACCAGCAGCAGACCCCTCTGCCGTCCGTGGAGATGTACCACCCCGACGAGGGCAAGTGGGAGACCAAGGCCAGCCTGGGGCAGCCGTCCATGGGGGTCACCACCGTGGAGAGAGGTAAGAAATGGGAATACATGGTTGTAGCGCTGTTCTTCAAAGCAGATGTTGGTTGAGATGGTTATGAATATATATGGTTGTGATGTTTGATGAGACCAAGATGGACCAGGTCGGTTCCAGTTTGGGTCAGTTGGTAGATTTGTTGACATGTTTGACACGATACAAAATGACACGTAATACTCTCCTGTCAGAGCAACATTGACGGCTCCATTTGCAACGGGACAAACATGGAAACCAGATTCAACATTACAATCACTGAGGAGGACATGTTCAAGACCCTTTAACGTACATCTGATCCAGGATTGACCTGCATGATGATTATGGTGCGTTCACACTGGACTTTTACATACCTGGCTGCTTGTACATACTTTTAACATGCACAAAGCAGCAGTAGTGTTTATTTAAAACATTCAGTATCTAGGTTTGTACATGGAGATAAGCCCCGCCCCCTCTCAGGCGCATCTTTGATTGAAACACAAATTATGCCGCGGGAATGCAATGACCGCAAGTAACACAAGGCTAATCTTTGCTTTGCGTTTGGTATCAACGCACCATTATATAATTAAATAGGCGACTGATGACTTCCCTCTGGTGGGAATAGATAGTGTTTTACAGGTTCCATCCCATTCTATACTTAAGCATGAATAACATTTTTTGTATTGATGACTTGCAGATTGTTCGTGATTCCAGAGTTGTTCTTTGGTGGTCTTGAATATTACTTATCCACATACACAATCTTTGTTTGACAGTTGGACTGTATTGCAGTGCTTAGAGAGCGCTAGTATTTCTAGTATTCAAAATGTGTCAGTTCGTGACTGTGCATTCACAACATCAAACTGACACAACTTCATGCAGGCTCATTAAGATCTGATCTGGACTTTGAAGCAACAACAACATCAAAGTGATTCCTCTGAAGTGGTGATGTTAACTAATTAGCCGAACATTTTTTGGAGACGCTCTAACTGATAGTGGAGCTCCTAAAGTGTCTCTCGAGTGGAAGCGGTTCTCTTCTGATCAAAGCTGAGTGAGGCTGAGATAGATGGCTACTCACACAAACCATGAATATGGTGCTTAACTTGGGCCCATGTTGTGATTATTATCACTGGGAAGCACCAGATTCTGATGAATGAATGTTGTGTCAAAATAGCATACGCAGAACAGTTGGACAAAGGGGCAATCCGTCCAACTGGATATTTTACAGACTTATGGGGATTGGGCAGGGTAAGGAGGGTTACTTTAAACATGTATTCCATTACAACTACTAGTTACATGTGAAAAACATTCATTAGCAACCTATTCTTAGAGTCCAAATAAAAAAGTAATGTAGCCTGATTGAATAACCTCAATATCAAGAACAATGCAAATAAATAAAATAAAAAATAAATATCAATAAGATTTGTTTTATTTATTTATTAAGTTTATTATGCAAGATAAAATAAAAATGTAGAAGAGAACCATGATATTTAGTAGATAAAATGTGTCCTTTGGTCAGAGATGTTATTTATAGTAAAAGCTGCCTGTCACTTAGCATATTCAGGCAGTAGCCCATACACCAACACTCAAACACATAGCACAAACTACAGTTTAAAAAAGCAGAAATAAAATCTGAGCTGACAGAAAATGCTCCATAAAGCAGATTCAGGCAGTAGAAGTATAGATTCACACTTCAATTATCCTACAGAACAGTTTATAGAGAGGAGAGGCACTTAATACAAACACTGTGCTCTTTTGAGTTTGTCAGTAACATTGTAGTCCTAGTGATCCCCATTTTTTAGAAACAGTAATCTGATTACATATTTGTCCATGTAACTTTTTATTGTAATCCGTTACTCCCACTCCTTGGATTGGGAATATGCTAACTGCATTGCATATACTGTATACGGGGCTTTTCCAGTCTCTTTGACCCCTGAAAGCACTTTTACTTATAACAGTCAGCATTCACACACATTCATACAATTTTGGCCATGAGTAGACATTTGGAGTTTCTTACCCAAGGATGCATGGACATGCAGGGGCTCGTGATTATTGAGATTAGTCCCTTAATCTAAAACCTATTTCAGGGAAAATTGAAAGGTCCGATTCTTACAGTATGTTTAAGTATTACTGACATCTTGTTTTTTCTTATTGACCTTATGAAAGTATTTCAGTGCCCAAACTGCTACAGTCAGAAAAGTGACCAATACGCCGCTGTTGAACCTTTGCACTTTGAAAATGTTTCTGCATTGAATCTATTTCCTCATTCTACTTAAATCCACACTGAACATGGAACGTTGCATACTGACTGCTACACCTCCAGCAAGTTGTACTCAGTGTGTGTGTTTGTACAAGCCGACTGCAATATATCTTCCTGTGAAAGCACTACCTCGTGTGTTCTGTCAAACACAGCTCGTGTTGAAGCGCCAGTCGTCACACAGCGTACCTCCACTGAATAAACATACTGGACTCGTGCTTACTCCCCAGGCGAGTGCAGGCTGTCTGAGGCTGGGGATGTTGGCACAGAGGAAAGGAGTCGTGAGAAAGTCAGGAAGAGAGAAGAGTGGGTGGAAGTGGTTCTTGAGTTTATATTTGTGAATTCATTTTCTTTCTATTCTGTCTTTGGAAAGTATTTCCAATAAATATTACATTAATGGAATACTGAAGGCTGACAATGAACAGAGAGGGAACAGAAGTCGCTGAAGTTTTTACTGTTTATGTCTCAGGCTGCTGAGTGCTGAGTTGATAAACCGAAGAATCAATATGACCTTTCAAGGTAATAGAGACAGGGAGGGAATATTCTGTGACAGGCATCTTATTCCATACTGTATTCATGCACATGGTGAAAAGGCACATGCAGTCGAGTGTCATCAAATAAGTTGGATTTCTCCAGCATTTCTGGGATGTTTGGATTTGGATTAAAGGCTATTAAAGGGGTCCTATTATGCTCAATTTCAGGTTCATATTTGAATGTTGTGCCTCTACTGTGACAAAAAGGTCTTTCTTTTTCTCATACTGCAGCAGCACCTCTTTTCACTTGAAGGTCTGCTCTAATTGTGATACAGTTATGTCAAAACGTATCCTCAAGCATTATAGTTTGGATTAACAGGCGTATTAACTCAACTTACACTCAAGCTTAAAACTGACAATTTAGTTGCATTCCCTAAACCTTTCTCCCAAACAACAATTTTGTAATAACAGCTTAGTAACTGTAGCTGGGAACTTATCTGCTATTTTTAGCTCCACATGTCTGCATTCTGGCTAATTTGCTTACTGCTTCAGTGATCCACATTTAATACATTTGGAACGTTAATGATGAATCATCCATCCTGATACCTGAATTATCGACTGGTAAGAGTGTTGGCTTATTGCCGTGAAAATGCAGCTCCAGCCCCAGACTTTGACTCAAAATGATGTAGTTATCAAGAGTTGTTGGCTGGAAATAAGGGACTGCTATTTTCCAATTCTGTCTGAGATCATTGGTTTTAAAGAGAATTCTGATAGTCAATATTCCCTCCCAGCTATATATTGAGATGTATTGCATTTGAATTCATTTCCATGTTCGCAGCAATGGTGCTGGTAGTTAAAGGGGCTCTATGATGCTTTTTGGGGTTTCCCTTTCCTTTCCGGTCTGCAAAGTTCCTCCCTTAATGTGTCATACCCACTTAATGGGAAGAAACTCAGCTACCTAACGATATGAACCATTTCTACCGAAACGAAACACAAGTCTAACGTCAAGCGTCTGAATTAGCACTAAGCGAAAGAGTGCTAACGCACTTAGCATATTACTCACTGTAGCAATATGTTATACTTCATCGGATCTGTACAAACAACATATCACCTGAAAGCTGAGATTCCACTGGTATAAGTATCATCACTGTGGGACCAAAACTCACGGCAGCGAAGGCAAGCAAAGACAACACACAACTTCACTTTACGGGTTCAAAACGGCAAATACGTCTGACCTTTGCTGTTTTCTGATCAAAAGTTGTGTTCAAGGGCATTACAACGCATATAAACGCTGCTGAAGGTTGATCCAATGTCTCTGTGTCACTTTGAAATGATTACTGATAATCCATCATCATATTTATGTCACTAAACACGGGGGAGCTTCCGGTTTTGGGCATGCTGGCTGCGCATCACTCTCATTCACCAATGGTAATGTTTAGATGGATTTAGGAACTACCTCTCGATTCTATTGGCTCTAACGGTTCAAAAGAGGTGTCAATCATCAAAATCCAGAGATATGGCAAATCCACCCAAATGACCCCAGAGGTGGTTTTTTCTTTTCTAAACCTCTCTAAAAAGGTAAAATGTCACTTGTTTTGCATCAATCTTGATACAGGGTACTTATTACATGTTATAGTTTGGATTCCTAAAGCTTTTCGTCTACTATCCCATCATTCAAGGGTGGTTTTCACTATACAGTAAGTCATGGTTTGTTTTTGGACGGACACAATAATTTTTTTTTTTTTACTGTGTTCAATCTGAATTTACTTTAAAATAAAAACATCTATATTGATTCTGACACTTCTACATCCAACTCACAGCTTTATCATTGCTTTGAGAAAAAGATTATTAATTTAACCCTTTTAGAAGGGAAGATATATTCATTTGTTCTGGAAATGTCATCTTCGAGCCTGAGGCCTGAAAAACAGGCTTGGGGCTTAACAGGTTCATACATGAGACATTTAATCCATAGTATTTTAGCAACAACTTCATATTATTTGATGTTTAATATTATCTGTGAAACCATTTGTGGTGCGTTGTAATGACACTGATCGGGGCATGCTTTCAGTCTGAAACTGTTGCAGCAGAAGAGTTGTGCTCTAAAACCCTGCAGCCAAAACACTTCCCTAAGGTGAGCTGTCACACTCATTAAAGGTACACTCCCATTTAGGAAAGCGTAACATTAACAGCTCAGCGCTCATGTTTTCACTTTGGCTCAGCTCTGCAGAAGTGATCCGCTGGAGTGCGTTTATCTTCTCCGCAGCTGAAGTGTGAACAGGAAATATGTAAAACATCAC